TTGGGGGGGGGGGGGTTGTTTTGGGGGTTTTTTTTTTTTTGAAGCTGATCATTTTTCTTTCAGGCTTAATAATCTCTAATTAGGAGACTATAATTTGTAGAGGTTTCCAGGTATTTGAGCACTTATTTTAATATGGCCACACAGACTTCTGAGTCCTACTTCTGAAGAACCATGGACAGGTACAAAAATTATATCTTAATTAGCATGGCCTAAGCACTAAACAGTCTTTAAATTAGCTATGAGGACATGCCTGAGAGTGAGGCTATCAGTTGTCGTCCCGTGTCGTGTCCCCCCCCCCCGCCCCCCATAGCTCCTTTGTTACACATCAGCTCCAGCTGGCTTAAGGTGTGGTATTCTGGAAGTCACAGTCCAGCATCTTGGTTGATTAGGAGTGCAGCTGAGTCCACAAAATTGGATTTCAGTCCATGTAACACAATAAAATAAGCAACATAATTAACAGTAAAAATAGCAAAAGGACTGATTTAAGGCAAGGAATCACTTTTTTTATAGTGTTACTGTATTTAAGATGGGTTTTTGGTTTTAGCTGTATTGGTCTAAGGACATAGGCAGGCAAGGTTCTTTGGGTAGATGTGATATCTTTTATTAGACCAACTGAGTAGTTGGGGAAAAAAGAGAGACTTCCTGTGCCTGAAGAAGGGCAATTGAGCCCAAAAGCTTGCAAGTAACTTTTTCCCAGCTCCTCAGTTAATCTAATAAAAGATATCACATCTACCTAAAGAACCTTGCCTGCCTGCTGTATTTAAGGGCATTTACATTTTCTGCAATCAAGAAGTAATAGCAAAGGCAAATATGTAAAATGTAGACTTTCCTATAGGAAGAAAAAATTCAATTTGACAAATAAAAATTAGAATACAGATACATGACTTGTTCTGAATAAATAATAGATGAAATATTCTTTCTTCTTTTTGTATTCCTGTTACCTTAGTCTTCCCTTGCTTTTGTTCTTACTGCCTCTCTTCCAAGTGTATTTTGCATGTTTTCTCAACTATGTGATACCAGTTGAAATTATTTTGAATAGCTGTTTTTTCCTCTTCTATTTTCTGCCCTAGAATATACCCATGTACTATAAACTGATCAAAAGATTTAACACTTTGTTGTTCTAATGCTTCCAGTAGGGAAACTGTTCATTAGTTTTGACCCTGTTGCATTTAAATTTTTAGACAATTTTGTCTCGAGCTCAATGGACTTGCTGTCAAGCTTCAGGTAACTCTTTTTGTGTTCTTAAATTTTGTTTACACCTGTGTTAAATACCAGGTTGCTTTGTATTTAAGCTATAAAGGTAGTTTTCAGAGATTTCTAACTCTTAGCTCATGCATTTGTGGTTGTCAGTGATTTTTAGAAACATGGCTTTAGGATGCTAGATGACTTCAGTTGATCAAGTAGTTTAGGATTTATTTTTTCTTTTACCTTTTAAGGAATTAAAAATGTTTAAACATAATAATAAATCTTGCTTTAACTGTTGGCATTTTTTAAATAAACTGAACAATTATTTCAACAGAGCGAGTGCCACCCAGACACCTGTACTCAGATGACAGCAACTGAGCAATGGATTTTTCTTTGTGCTGCCCATAAAACTCCCAAAGAGGTGAGGATGTGTGGAAATACTGCCTGTAAAGACTCAAATCTTTTGTTTCAGGGAACATGTGTGCTTGGGGTTGGGGGGGGAGGCATTAGCTAAATTGAGGGGTTGCTTGTTTTCCATATACTCCCTAAGAGCTCATCTGAAAGGAAGAGCAGGGGAAGAGTTCTTTACAATAGTGCAGAACATTGCTTTTTCTTCTCTTCGTATGGATGAAATCCTGGAAGCATAAAACTCTGTTATTTTTCTTTGCCAATAGAAACCCCTTTATTTTCCAGCTTCTCTGACATGGTCCTGTTGGTTTTTAAGAAAGTTTAGAACAAAATTGGATTTGTTTTCCTGGACTGATGGTAGAATAACTGGTGTAAGTACTTCATCCTGCTGGCCCTGTTTGGATACTACCAAAACACTAGCATTCTTCCAGCTTTTTGGAATTTCTGCATTATTCAGTTTTCTTAAAAATGAACATTGTTGAGCCCTAGTTCTACTCAGCCAGTTATCTCAGGATTCTTGGATCCAGGCTCTCCACATCTTCTGATTTGAAAATGTTTATCCCTAAGAGATGATGTTACTTAAAATTCTCCTTATGTAGTAATAGGCTGGAAAGTGTCCTCAACCTCATGTGACATAAGCTATTCATCCCACATCTTTTCAAATACAGGACAGAATTTTTATTGAACACTTCTCTCTTCTATATAATTACTAGTTGTTTTACAGTCTTTATTCATTGCTAATGTTTTGTTTTTTAAGTACTTTAAAACAAAACAAAATTTTTAATTTTGTCTAGCTTTGCCAGTTATGGGTCTCTTTCTGTGAAGTCTTTAGCTTGCATTATCAATTTTTTACACTTGACTTTGTGTTGATTGGTAGCTGTTTCTTCTTTTTACCATTTTACCAAGTTGGTCTCTTATTTTTTAATGGTTGCTTTCATATTGCTATTGAACAAGACTGGGCTTTTAGCTAGTTGCCCTCTTTCTTGATTATGAAATAATGTTTTTGGTCATCGTATAGGCTTCTTAAAAATAATTAATATATATATATTTTTCTCTTTTCCCCCCTCAGTTTTGGTCGTTATTTTTCTTGGCTTTGGGAAAATGGTATTTTTGAAGTACTAACTGCGTGTATATATAGGTGAACTAAGGACTGTCCTCTGTCCCCACTAATACAGTCAGCTTGTGATTGATACTTTCTAGTGTTTCTTCTAGTACCAATCTTGTGGCTATGCCAGACAAGAAAGCTGATATTTTTAAGTTTCTTTGCCTCTGTTTTCTTGAACAGGGACTGGGATATCCTACCTACCAGGCATGGGGACAATCTTGGGGATAGCTCTGTCAGGTACTCAGTCAGTGCAGATGTAGTTAGGGATCTTATGGAAGTGCTAGACATTTTTAAATTCACAGGTCCAGATGCCCTCTATCCAAGAGTGTTGAGGGAGCTGGCAGGGGTCATCATGGAGCCCTTGGCTCGGCTGTATGAGCATTCGTGGTCATCTGGCCAGGTCCCAGGGGATTGGAAACTGGCTAATGTGGTCCCAATTTTCAAGAAAGGGAGGAAGGAGGACCCAAGTAACTATTGGCCTGTAAGCCTCACCTCGGTACTTGGGAAGATCTTGGAGAGAATCATCAAGGAGCACATCTGTGGGGGGCCTGCAGGGGAGATCACACTTAGGGGCAGTCAGCATGGGTTCATCAAAGGCAGGTCCTGCCTGACCAACCTGGTTGCCTTTTATGACCAAGTTACTAAATCCTTGCATGATTGTGTTGCCGTGGACATAGTCTTTCTAGACTTTAAGAAGGCCTTTGACACTGTCTCTCACCCCATCCTCATCAATAAATTAAGCAACTGTGGCATTGATGCCTGCAGTTAGATGGGTAAAAAATTGGCTGATGGGGTGCACCCAGAGAGTAGTGGTGGATGGGCTGTACTCAACCTGGCGAGATGTGAGCAGTGGGGTACCCCAGGGCTTGGTCCTCGGGCCTGCACTGTTTAACATCTTCATCAGTGACTTGGACAAGGGGGTAGAAAGCACGCTGTCCAAGTTTGCTGATGACACTAAGATGTGGGGTGAGGCGGACACACTTGAAGGCTGCAAACAGATTTAGACTACAAAAGTGGGCAGATGAGAATAGGATGGGGTTCAACGTAGACAAATACAGGGTGCTGCACCTTGGGAGAAGGAATCCACAGCATACATACAGGCTGGGGAGTTCCTGCCTTGAAAGCACAGAGGCAGAAAGGGATCTTGGAGTCATTATTGACTCCAAAATGAACATGAGCCACCAATGCCAGACTGCAGCCAGCAAGGCCAGCTATACCTTGTCATGCATCCAAAGGTGCATCTCAAGCTGGTCCAGAGAGGTGATACTCCCCTTCTGTGACGTTGGTCAAGCCGCAGTTGGAATACTGCGTCCAGTACGGGGCGCTGCACTTCAAGAGGGATGTGGCCAGCCTGGAGAGGGTTCAGAGGAGGGCCACCCGCTTGGTGAGAGGGCAGCAGCACAGGCCCTACGAGGAGAGACTGAGGGACCTGACTGAGCAAGAGGAGGCTGAGGGGGGACCTGGTGGCTGCCTACAAACCCAGCATTCATTCCTGCCTGTGGCAGGGGGTCAGGCTAGATGATCTGTTCAGGTCCCTCCTGACCCTAGCTACTATGAAACTGTGAATGATAAATTCATCTTTTATCTCTAGCATTTGAGGTTCAATATGTGTAATAGGAAAAGGGGGAAAAAAGTACAAAACGTTAATTGGAATTGATCTTGGCATGCTGTCAAGTGGTTTTAATATAGTTTGAAAGGTAGTTAAATTGTCAGGCCAGAACTGATTGAAGTATACATAATCTTTGAATTATTTTTCTAGGTCCTAAGGCCAATAATGTTTAGTTAAATACAGAAAATAAGAAAAATCCCCAAATTATAACAAATTCAATAGTACAAGTTATCAACCCTTTTCTGGGGTGTTAAACTCTTGTTTGAAATACTTCCAGTAAGTGAAATGTATCATTAATTGTGCTGATATTACATGATGAAAGTGCTTCCCTCCCATTCCTGAATACTTTGTGAGCATCAATATTTTTTTTCTTTTTTTTTTTTAAATATATTGGATAATAATTTTTTTTTGGCTTGGTCTGCTATGATACAAACTAGGACTGGCTTTTGCATATAAGAGGTAGGATAATGACAGTCAAAATACTCTGGTACTTCTGCTTTTCCAGTTTGTTTCCTCTTTCAGACAAAATTTCTGGGGATGGTTCTTCATAGAGAGGGTTCTTAATTTTGCTCTTTTTGACAGAGGACTTCTGTGTTGTATCCCTTCAATAATTATGCTTTAAAAAAGAAGTAGTGCCTTACCCTTCTTTTTCTAAATTTCTTATAGTGCCCTGCCATAGACTACACCAGGCATACACTTGATGGGGCTGCATGTCTTCTGAATAGCAATAAATATTTCCCCAGCAGGTAAAAACCTTTAAAAAAATAAAAGTCACTTTATGTTAATTAGAAGATCTTGTTTGCAGTGCAGCATTCCAGTGCTAGGCAACGTAGTATACTAAAAATAGTAAAACATAAAATACAGTATAGTAGAAAATTTAAAAGTGGCAATCTATCCACAATTGAAAAGCTCCTGTCAATAGCTGCTTGCAGATAAGATGCATATTTCTAAGAGGATATATTTTCAATCTAATTATGTGGTTGTTCTCCACTCTCTCCCCATCTGTATCCCAAATCACTAGGCTGCCAGTTGAGAAATCATGCCTAGGTAGAGGGAAGGAATGGCAGTGGCTCAAGATACCTGCCAGCACTATATTCTGTTTATAAAAAACCTGCAGCAAGCTAGTACTTCACAAATGGGGATGGCGGAGTACACATTAAGTGCATTCCTAAGGTAACCTCCATACCAGGTTATGGAAACTTGACTAGAACAATAAAAGCTTGTCCCTCTGAGGAGGAACCTCCATGTAGTCAAGTGATCTGGTTGGAGTGAGAGGTGGACCTGTCATTTCCCTGTGTCAGAAATGAGGAATCTAGCCCCAACTAGACTGAAAGCTTGTAGAAGGAGCCAACTCGCTATTTTTTTTCCTTTTACTAAATGCTTTGAGCAGTGAATAAATATAAAAAAAAATCAGTCATCTATAAAAACTAATGGGTGACATTTCCATGCAGGTTTATTTAATCTGGTGTAGCAAAAAAGTAATTTTACATACAGGTATTTACTCAGAAATGTTTGTGTGCTGATTTCTTTAGGTTTGTCAAACTGAATACTTTCTGACATTTAACTTGCTGCTTACAGGGTTAGCATAAAGGAATCTTCTGTAGCCAAATTAGGATCAGTGTGCCGTAGGATTTACAGAATATTTTCACATGCTTATTTTCATCATCGTCAGATATTTGATGAATATGAAGTAAGTATTTGAGCACTTTCTGTATTAATGCTCTTTATAATTATGCCCAGCATTGCTCTTCTGCAACTGTTGTATCATTTTGTAACACTTCCTATAAAGTACACTTCTAGCCAAGAAGTGTACAAATCATAACATGTGTAACAGCTGAGAAATTCCATATTGTGAAGAATTTTTGCCTTCAGATTGGAAGGGGAGGTTAAGAGGAGTGGGTGGCAGTAGAAGCCTGAATTGTAATACAATGTTTAGCAGGTCCATCAAAGCCGTTTGGGAGATGGTTTAGTTTCTTGAGCTAGGGAAGATTATGCATAGAAGAAACCACACTACTATAGCTTAGGTCACTATCTTGAGTTAGCTTTTGACTTTGGATAATGTACCATGATTTAGTCCAAACCAAATTACCTAATTGAAATGTAAATATGTATAATGCCTGATGGCATTCTTAGTTATGTGGAAGCTTTATATGTCCCTGAAACTTACAAAACCAAGGGTACAGTTATTTATCCATCAGGATTTTTTTTTCATTACAAACTTCCCACATTTCAGTTTGAGAAATTTCTTCTCTGCATGTATCGGAATGCATTTTGTTGAACTTTTAAATAAGACTTTTTTCCATTTCCAGAATGAAACCTTCTTGTGTCACCGGTTCACTAAATTTGTAATGAAATATAATCTGATGTCCAAGGATAACCTGATTGTACCAATTTTGGAAGAAGAAGTGCAGAATTCAGTGTCTGGGGAAAGTGAGGCATGAAGGGAATTTGGTACAGAAAACTGTACTGAACACATAATTAACATAATTATGTACTGTATATATCATTTTACACACTTCAATCATGTATCCTTATAGCTTTGTTTAGTATACACTTTGTATGCTGTGTTGTTGCCTTTTAATATGGAAATTACTTTAAGTTATTCATGAGCTGTATATTCATCAATGTGGCACTCATGGTTTTTAAATAAAAGTAGCATTATCTGTTTATAATGCCTGTTAATAAAAGAATTTACAGTTCTGTAAAACTGCTGCTAAACAATCATTGGATTACAATTCTCAGATATCTGATTTAAAATGAGTGAAGTTTCAGACAAGCCATTTTCTAATGAAGTAGCAACATTAGCTTTATTTCTGAGTTTAATACCTTAAATTTAGAATCCTGCAGGAAGCTTCGTGTAGTGTAGCTTAATCCTAATCTTGGCTCTGTCTTTTAAAGAAGAGCGCTCTTGCTTAAAAGATTTACTTATGCTTTTGGATGTGCATATGTACTGCTAACAATTCTGGTGTGTGTATATCCAAATATTAAACATAACTACAGTGTTAGTAATGTCAAAAGGATAGATTGACTATGTTATCAAAACTGTAATCTTGCTACGTAGGAGATGGTCAAGTATTTTCTAGACTTGCCTTTCTGTAACAATGGAGGCTTGTTGGCATTGCTGAGGGGATGTGTTCTGTCTGATAGAAGAGCAGAAATGTTTATTTGCCTTTATCTACAGCTTCTCAAAAGAATAGAGTCTGAATATAACTTTTTTTCTTGCCTATTGTAAAGCACATAACGGTTTATATCTGGACACATTTATGGTTATTGCTTACCGATTATACCTCATGTTAATACTATTCATATTTACACTACAGAACAACATAGTATAATCTTGCTTACATTCCTATCTAAAGTATTTCAAATGCTTGGAAAATGGAACCCTACCTACATTTGTTATAGTTTGATCATAGTCTGTCTAATCATGAGACACTTTCCTTTCATCCATTCATTTGGGTTATACCTTTTCTGAGGTGAAAAATCTGTGGTTGAATTTCACCCCTTTCTCCAATGCTTACTTTAAGCTATTTGCAGATTTGCAACAACTCAAGTTCCATGAGTGCTGCTTAATTGTGTTGAACTGTTCCAAATTCAATAGAATTAAATGTTTTAAAAAAAGCTATTATAGCAGACTTATTGTGAATAGTGTACATGAATGCAGTGTGAAAGCATTGGCAGTTTTCTTATTAAATGGCTTTTGTTTAGATGTTCAAAATAGTTTTAAAGTACATTTGCTTTCCTCAGATGGTGTGTGGGCCCTGTTGAAACATGTCAAGGTAGGCCTTAGTGGCTGCTGAGATGCGAAAAAAACAAACAGCGCTTTACCGGAAAAGGAAGTGCATTAGTTTGACCTGGCTCCCCAGCTTTATAGACTGGGTGCTTCAGTGAGGTTTTTTGGTACTTTTGTCTAATAGCTGTCTCAATCAGTTATTGGCGAAAAGTGTCAAAAAGTCCTACTGAAGCACCTGATCTATAGAGGGGTTGGGTGAGCCAGATCAAACTAATGCAGTGTCTCTTCTGGGCACACACTGCTGAGTGTGGGGGCACACCAGGCTGAAAGTAAAGTGGTTTTGTTTGTTTGTTTGTTTTCATATCTGTAAGCAGCTAGTGTGGCTAACTGTTTATAGAACTTCCACTTCCTCTTGAAATTATGCTTCCTTGGAAATGAGAGTTCATTTATTTTTAGTAGTTTATTTTTTGTGACGTACTGAACATGCCTTATGTAATTCTGTACAGAACATTACAAGTTAAGCACATCTTAAGTAGCTGTACCACCTGGATCTAAAGGGAACTTAAACAATGAGGAAATGGAGAGACTGAGGTCTTAAAGTGCTCTCAGTGCTGTGTTTTTTGGGCAGCTATTGTCTTCGGTTTAAAAATTGTATTTAATGGTCAACAGGGTGATTGCACGAGATATGATTTTAGTGACAAAAGCTTTAGCCATTGTCTACACATTTAACTGCTGTTTGCCATGTACAGGCCAAATAACTTGATTATATTTGTATCTTTGAAATTCTCATTTAGAGTAGAGGATTGCATTTTGGAGATAGTAAAATGTACTTAGCTTTATAACAGTCTGCTGTTGCAAGACATCCTCAATTGGTTTCTGTTGCAGTCATTTATGACAGCCTTATATCAGTCAGAGTGACTGGGACAGGCAAAAATCTGGTGGTATTAACTGCTAACCACACCTGTAAATTTTTAAGATGAACTGGTGCTCAGGACTGCAG